ACCCTTCCTGCTCACCTGGGCCTGGGCAGGCGGGCCAGGCCCTGGTGTGAGCTCATTTCTTCCAGCCCAGGGCCAGGGTGTGGCTGTGGGCAGGAAGGAGAGGACACCCCTTTCTGCCCTGCCTGGCTCACTCCTTCCCAGGGCTCCACACACTCTCCCTCAGTGCAGGGCTCTCCCAGGGGGTTTGCCTCTGCCTCTCCCCTTCCAGCAGGTCCGAGGCTATGGGGAGCTCACTCAGCCACCTTGCACCCAGGCTTGGCCCAGAGGTTGGGGGGGTGCTGAGGAGATGCAGCTGGGGGTGAGCTGGCACTCTGCTCCCCCTTTGCTCTGCTTGGCCCACGAGCTGGCCCACGTGGCCCTGGGTGTGGCTCACAACCGGGGCTGTGCCTCTGCGCCGGCTTCAGACCTTGTTGGGCCTCGGTTTCCCTGTGCCCAGCCCCCGGTGCTGATGTGCGGGTTGCGTGAGGCGACACACATGATGGTTAGAAGGGCCCTGCTGGCTGGGTGGGCCTGGGGCGTGGGTGTGGGCGCTGGCAGAGGCTGGAAAGCCCCTGCAGGAGGGGAGAAGGTGAGAGTCTGGTGTGGGGGCAGAGCCTGCCTCCGGTGCCAGCGTGCCCGTTTGCTCTCTGGCCCTGCTGCTGATGCCTGGCAAGGCTGGGCGTCTGTGGGCCTCTGTGGACGGTGTGCTTTCTCCCCTGGTCGGGGTCTCTGACCTGGGGTTGACGAGGCCAGGAAGCTGGTGGAGGGCCCTGAGGGGTGGCTGTGGGCTGTTTGGGGAAGGTCTGAAAGGGTTCTATAACGTTCACCCTTTGTCCACCCCTATTTTCACCTTAGAGTCTGACGCAGATAAAGCCAGCACAGTCTTGGTGGCCCAAAGGGGGCAGGGGTCACGGTGTTGTGAAAGGCCCTGTGGGTGTGCCCCGCTGGGCGGCTTTGGGCTGGTTCCAGTGAAAGCCAATGGGCTTGGGCTTGGGGGAGGGCGTCTGGGACAGGCTCAGAGACCCTCCTCTCTGGGGAGCTGGGCCTCGGACCCCTACCCGCCTCACGGAAAGGCAGGTGCAGGGCCTCAGGGGGAAGAGGGCCTTGGGTGGAGGTCACAGCCTCCCTGTGAGGCCAGGAGGGACCTGGAAGGTGGTGCCAGGCCAGGGAGAGGCTGGGAGAGGCAGGTGGGCCAGGCAGGTCCAGCCTGGGTCTGGGAGGCAGGAGTGCGTGTCCGCTGCTGGGGCTGAAGAACGCTGAGCAGCATCTTGGCTTCTTGGTCCCTCGCCTCCCCTCTGAGTGCTGACCCCAACCACAGCCAGGCTCGCCACTGCTTCGCCCTCCGGTGCCTCTCAGGCAGGGATGTGTCTGCAGGAGGGAAGGGAGGCCCCGGCCTCACCTGTTTCAAAACTGGAGGTCTTGCTCAATGTTTGTGGGCCTTCCTGCTGGGGTGAGGCTGCGCACAGCCTGTGAGCCAGCTGTGGCCCCTCCCCCCTCTGCGGCACCTGAGGATCAGGCAGGGATGTGAGGGTCCCCCATCCCTAGCACTGGGTGGGAGCATTCCTGCCTGCTTCTATGGGAGACCCCAGCTATCAGGTGCGCGGCCCCCGATGGGCTCCTCTCAGCCCCCAGCCCAGCAGGAGCACCGCGCTGACCTGTGGTTGGAGGCCACACTGCTCCCCGAAGGTCACACCAAGCTGGGTGCTCAGCTGGCCCTGGCAGGTCCCTGTGCCCGCTGAGCTGTGTAGGCCAATGTGGGGAGGTGGTGGTTTGAGGGGGATCCCTTCAGCTCCCTGGTAGGTGGGATGGGCTGCCCACCCCACCTCTGCCCAGCCTTGCTGGGTGGACTCTGGCTGTGGGCCCATCACACTCCGTAGCTCGTGTGGGTGGCGGCAGCTGGTGGCCTCTGGAGCGAGGCTGGGTCCGGGCCTACGGTGCTCGGGCCGACGTTGCCCTGGGCTGGGCAGGCCTCTGCCTGGCTCCCCTCAGACTGTCAGGCAGGAGGGTTGGAGTGGGGAGTGGACACAGCTGCTGGGCTGGGAGGGGTGGGCAGTTTGTGGCCCTCCCCGAGGTTCTCACTGCCTCCTGCCCTCAGGTGCCACCGCCTGCAGGATTCTTTGTTCAGCTCGGACAGCGGCTTCAGCAACTACCGTGGCATCCTGAATTGGTGTGTGGTGATGCTGGTGAGTGGGATGGTGGCTGGTGGGTTTGTGTGGGAGGCTTCTGTGCTGTGAGCTGTGGCTGAGGGGCACTGGGGAGCAGAGAGGAGTGAACAGGAGGGGTGGCTGGCCCTGGGCTGATGGGCTGCGGGGTTGAGGATGGGGTGTTCTGTGGGTACGGGGCTTCCTTGGCAGCATGTGTGAGTCGTTTGGGGTCCCAGAAGAATCCCCTCTGCTCCTGAATGGCCCTCGTGGGTGTGGAGCCCCTGGCTGGCCTGGCCTGGGTCGAACAGGGCTGAGAAGATGGCTTTTGGGCTCAGCACAGCAACCCAGCCATTGCTCTACGGGCCCCAGTCCCTCTCCCTTAGCCCGGGTCGTAGGTGCCCCCAGGAAAATGCCTCTAACGTACCTTGTGGCCTGGCTGAGGCCCCTGCTGCTGGGGCCCAGTTCCTGCTGGCACCTTGTGGGGGTGGGACTGGTAGTGCTGGCCTAGGAGCAGCTGGAGTCCAGGGCTCAATGGGCAGCATGCAGGGTGGGGCTGGGAACAAGGGTCTGTTTGGGCTGATACGGCCCCAGGCCTTCAACCCTCAGCCTGAGACACACCTGCCCCAAGGCTCCTGGCTGCTCCTACGGAGGCCCCAGGCACACCACACCCTCCCTGCGCAGTCCTAGGAGGCGCCCTGGGAGCTGTGGGCGCACTGCCTGGTGGGTGAGAGGCTGGTGGGATGGGGTTCTGGTCCTCTGGGGCCATTGCAGGCCTGGGCTGGGCTGGCAGAGGCTTGGCCGCGGGCAGCACTGCTCGGCTCAGCCCCACAGCCTTTGCCCTGCTTCTGGAGCCTCTGCCATGCCCGCCGCGGATGTGCGCCTCCCTCTCTTGCAGATCTTGAGCAATGCACGGCTGTTCTTGGAGAACCTCATCAAGTGAGTCTCTTCCCCAGGGCCCTGGCCCCACCTCTGAGGCCCCGCAGCTCTCACTGGCCACTCGGGCCCCCCTCACCTGCTCAGGCCTTCATCTCCCCACCCCCAGGTACGGCATCCTGGTGGACCCCATCCAGGTGGTGTCTCTGTTCCTAAAGGACCCCTACAGCTGGCCGGCCCTGTGCCTGATTATTGGTGAGCTGGGCACTGAGGAGGGTCTTGGGTGGGGGAGGGCTTACTGGGCCTGAACCGCCCTGTGCTCTTCTGTCCACAGTGGCCAATGCCTTTGCTGTGGCCGCCTTCCATGTGGAGAAGCGCCTGGCAGTGGTAAGCAGTGCCCGCATGCCGCTGCCTGGGCCAGAGGTCCTTTCCTCACAGGCCTGGGCTCAGGGCAGGTGCCACCCTCCCCACTGTGTGTGGCTCTCCTGGGAGGGGCTGCACCCTCGGCCTGGCAGTCTTCCCCAGGGGGACCCGTGGTCCAGGGAGTGGGCCCTGGCTGAGTGCTGCCCCTACCCCCCAGGGTGCCCTGACGGAGCAGGTGGGGCTGCTGCTGCACGGGCTGAACCTGGCCACCATTCTCTGCTTCCCAGCGTCTGTGGCCTTCCTGCTGGAGTCCATCACGCCAGGTGCCCCCCATTCCACCTGTCCCATCCCAGCTGGTCATGGGGGGACCCCAGGAGAGGCCCAGGCCAGCCTCAGGGGCTGCCCCTGGCCGCAGCTCTCCTGTGGGTGGTGTGGGAGGCCACGGCCTGACCCTGCCTTTCCTGCAGTGGGCTCCGTGCTGGCCCTGATGACGTACACCATCCTCTTCCTCAAGCTGTTCTCCTACCGGCACGTCAACCTGTGGTGCCGAGAGCGCAGGGCTAGTGCCAAGGCCAAGGCCGGTGAGGCTGCCTGCCAGGGGCGGGCGGGACTGGGCAGCAGCGGGGCCTCACCTTGCGCATCCCTCTCCTTCCTTCCCTTGCCACCTCCCAGCTTCTACCGGGAAGAAGGCCAACGGTGGGGCGGCCCAACCCCCGGGCACCGTGAGCTACCCGGACAACCTGACCTATGGAGGTGAGGGGCCTGCAGCTGGCCTGGAGGTGGGGGACAGGGGTGGGGTCCGCAGGCCGGGCCCTGGTGCCAGCTCTGCCCTCCCGTTCCAGATCTGTACTACTTCCTCTTTGCCCCTACGCTGTGCTACGAACTTAACTTTCCCCGCTCCCCCCGTATCCGAAAGCGCTTCCTGCTGCGGCGGCTACTTGAGATGGTGAGGCTGGGGGTGTGAGGGGCTGGGTGGTCCCAGATGCTGGGGCTCAGTTTGCTGCTCTGCTTCCTCCCCCAGCTGTTCTTCACCCAGCTCCAGGTGGGGCTGATCCAGCAGGTATGGGAGCAGGACGGGTGAGGGTGCAGAGGGGCTGCCTGGTGCTCTGGGTGGAGCTGACGCTGTGCCCTCCTTTGCAGTGGATGGTCCCTACCATCCAGAACTCCATGAAGCCCTTCAAGGTGAGTGGCCAGGCTCCCCTGTGGCTGGAGGGGGTGTGGCCTGGGAGCCAGCTGAGCCTTGTCCCTGCAGGATATGGACTATTCCCGCATCATCGAGCGCCTCCTGAAGCTGGCGGTGAGCAGGCTGGGCTTGGGCCGGGGGGGGCTGAGGGGGGGTTCTGGAACCTGACACCACCTGTCCCCCAGGTCCCCAACCACCTCATCTGGCTCATCTTCTTCTACTGGCTCTTCCACTCCTGCCTGAATGCCGTGGCCGAGCTCATGCAGTTTGGGGACCGCGAGTTCTACCGGGACTGGTGGTGGGTGACCTCAGTGGGGGCTGGGGCTGGGGCTGGGGCCAGGGCCAGTCATGGCGCCCTCTGATCATGGTCTCTTACCCCAGGAACTCTGAGTCCGTCACCTACTTCTGGCAGAACTGGAACATCCCCGTGCACAAGTGGTGTCTCAGGTGGGTGTGTGGTGGGTGGTGGCAGGCCCTCGAGTGGACCTGGGCACCTGCCCACGGCCTCCTCCTCCCACAGACACTTCTACAAGCCGATGGTCCGGCGTGGCTACAGCAAGTGGGTTGCCAGGACCGGGGTGTTCCTGGCCTCGGCCTTCTTCCACGAGGTCAGTGCTTTGTGGGCACCCTGCTTTGGGCCCGGAGCTGGGGTGCTGTGGCCCTGAGGAGCCAGCTGACAGCCCTCTCTCCCCTCACCCAGTACCTGGTGAGCATCCCTCTGCGCATGTTCCGTCTCTGGGCTTTCACCGGCATGATGGCTCAGGTGAGCACCAAGGCCTCTTCGCCTGCCCTGTTATGTGCCCGGGGCAGCCAGCCCGCGGTCACCACGGTCAGCTGACTGCATATCCTCGTCCCCAGATCCCACTGGCCTGGATAGTGAGCCGTTTCTTCCGTGGCAACTATGGCAATGCAGCCGTGTGGCTGTCGCTCATCATCGGGCAGCCAGTGGCGGTGCTCATGTACGTCCACGACTACTACGTGCTGCACCACGAGGCCCTGGCGGCAGAGGCCTGAGCTGCTGCCCACACTCCTCACTGCCACCTCGCCTGCCTCACTGCCCATGGCCTCCTCCTGGCCCTGGGAGGCCTCTCTGCCCCTATGGGGCTCCTGCCCCTCAGGAATGGGAGCAGCAGCACAGGCCAGTGCCTCAAGGACCTGTGCTGACCCTACCCAGGGTCCGAGGGTGTCAATAAAGTACTGTCCAGCGTAAGCTCGGCCTGCTGAGGGCGCTGGGTATGGTCTCACCACCTGGTCCAACAGCGCTGGCTGTGGGGGCAACTGCTCGTCGACTCAGAGGGCCTCAGGCTGTGCTCTTGGGATGGGGGACCGGGTCCCTAGGGTCCATGTGCTGGGAGGACAGCGCCCTTGGGGTGGGGGCCAGAGGGGCTGGGCAGATTGCACCTGACGTCATGGGTGGCAACTCTCATTGCCCAAGGTCTGCTGTGTCCAGACTTTCTGCCCAGAAGCCCATTAACACCATGTGTGGGACGTGGCTCAGAACTGGGTGCCCAATCCTCCCAGAAGTGAAGCTGGGCTTGGGGCCGGGCCTGGAGGGGGTCAAGTATTGGCGCCAATCCTTGCCGGGGTCTCCCCCTTGGTGGTGATGTACCCATGTAGGCGGGGGCACTTGCCTCAGGAGCAATGTCTGCATGACCCGAGTGGGCCAGCTCTTCCCACCCTGCTCTCCTGGTCTTGGGCTGGGCTGTCCCCATGGTGCAACCTCAGGACACTGCCCAGATCCTGCCACCTGCCAGGTGGGAGGCAGCCTGGGCCTGGATCCAGCTCCGGATAGAAGAGCCTAGGGCTGTGCCAGGCCAGGTGTGTCACTTGGCAGCTGGGCCCCACAGGGAGCGTCTGAGATGCCAAACAAGAGCCCACTCCACCCAAGTCCTCCTCTCCCTTGGGCCATAGGGGCCTTGGGGGCGGGGCCTCCTGTCCCTGCCCACGGAGGATAGTGAGCACTGGGGAAGCTCCTGGGCGCTGGCTGTCAGGTGGACTGTGCCTCCCCCACTTGGCCAGACCCTCTTCTCCCAGAGCAGGCCCAGCACCCAGTGAAGGCTCTGCTGGGCAGACAAGCCACATCCCCAGGGGCTCCTGGTGGGAGGCAGGGGCAGGGGTCCTGCAGCCCCACCGGCACCTCAATTAGTCCTGAGTGCACACGGGCCCTAGAGCAGGTGTGCTGGGCACCCTCCTTGCCCCCTGGGAGGAAGTGGCCATAGGCCAGTGTAGAGCTTGTCTTGTCCATCCACGGCCATCTACATATATACCTGTATGTTTATTTCTATGAAGGGGGAAGGGGACTCATGTAAAAACCAAAATACACTTTGTGAAAGCCACAGTATTGGTCAGTTCAGCGTGGCTGTGAAGCCCCAAGCAAGCCATGGCATGCGGGGCTGGGCCTCCTGAACCCTTTAGGAGACAGTGGGGTCCTTGGCTTTGGGGGGCTCAGAGCCCGTCAGCAGGGAGATGGTGGGGTTGTCTGCATAGTTGTCCCCCTCTGAGAAGTAGGAGCCCTCCCCCAGCTCGAAGAGCACAGGCAGGTCGCTGCTCCCCACGTCCATGGGGCCGGGGTCCATCAGGAGCAGGGGCTGTGCTGTGTAGTGCACCAGCTGCTTTCCTGGGGGTGGGGATGGGGGGCACGGTGAGGATGCTGGTGGGAGGGACGGGAGGGGACGGGAGGTGTGCAGGTGGGCTTGCTCACCTGAGTCGGGGCTGCTATTCTCTGCCTCGAGAGGCCTGGGGGGCTCCTGGGGAGAAAGGAGCTCCTGGATCTGCTGGGGCAGGAGGGTTTTGAGGGTTCCTGCTCCCCCACCCTCGTCACCTCCCTCCACCCTACCCCCACTCTACACACACTGGCCAGGCTGCTGTCCAGGTCCGGCAGGTTCATGTCTGGCACTGTCACCGAGGGGCTGAACAGCTGGGAAAGAGGAAGAGAGTCAGGCTGGGCCTGCGAGCAGGGTGGGTGGCGGGAGGTGGGCGG